AAGAGAAAATGGGAATTAATATAGCTAACTTTGTCATGAGCCAGGTATCCATTGACCTTATAAATCTCGCACCAATTTCTCTGGATGCAGTGCCGGCGAGCAAGGCTTGTTACCTTGCCCGCGATCTTGATATGCTAGTTTAGGGTGTAGATGTAATTGACACGGACTTGTAGTGACCTCGCCAGTAACATAACTTAAAACCTCATATTGTAAACGGCTTTGCAGACCACAGCCGTAGTCACTGCGCACTTGTGCTCCCTTTCCGCACGTTCCTTTCACGAGGCCTTATCACTTGACCAAACTATTTGTAAATGCGTTCCGGCTAACATAATTTGTTGAAACTAATTATAAAACTAAAACTGATCTCATGCATAATGGAACTAATGAGCTTTGTAGCATTTGTAGCTTTGTATTTCTAAATTACTTTGACCCCATTCATTTATACGGCAGCAATGTACAGTTAATTGATCAATAAAGTCTATCTTCGTTGAACTCAGTTATAAAAAAAATTGAGCAAATTAACTTACACTACAGAAAATGTTGTAGATCACAATATTTACGGCATATAAATTAACAAAATGGTTTAGTCGAAGCTAAATTGCGCGAATTATGTTTTATAAATACTCGATTCACCAATTGATTGCCAATTGAACACGCGGTCCCGCAGTGCTTGATTTTAGGGATAATCGCATCCTATTACTCATAAAGCATTTACGCCCTCGACGATTAGAAAGGGAAGAACAGTTCTGTTTGCGGATGATACGAATATTCTTTGCAATAAAAAAACTGTAAATAGTACGATATCAGATGTTTCAAATTGTTAATAATTGTAACTTGTGAAAAAAAGGAAACGAAGGTTTAATGCAGCTACAGAAATAAGCATTTTGACATTCTTGCCACAAATGCGCATTGTCATCTGTATTGAGAATTTCACTTGGTTTTGAGTTGGGGTAAAGATCTCTGAATTTATGAAAAAGCGTAAATTTACGAAAAATCCACGTCTCTCCTCTTAGTAGAGCGAAATTATAGGTTTAATAACATTATTGAAGAGTAAAACCTAGCTCTAAACGCAAAAATTGTCCAAAAAATTCGGAGCGGTTTTTAGAAAATGTCGTTTTGAATTATCGATCGATGTTAAAAATGCGCATTTATTTGATAATTTTTGCAGATAACTTTTGAGATTGTTAATAACATATCATTTGAAGCACTTGTACTTACAGATATAAAAATAAAAACCTATAAAAGTAAATATTAAGGACGTGAGAAAATCAGAACAATACATCAAAATATCATTTATGTGATGTTATTCAGAGCGTTTAGCACTACTGGCTCGCAAAGTTTAAACACAAAATTCAGAGCCGTTTTGAGAAAATCTTATTTTTATTATTGATAACATATGCACGAAAACTACCAACATTCTCAAAAATATGCTTGACACTATTTGAAGAACTCACTTAAGAAGTATATTAGCACAACAACTCTGTACGAGCTAGATCTACCAGTGGTGTTCCGGCCTTACGGCCATGTTAAGGGGTACGTGTGGTTAGCTCATAGCCATTGAACTAATTATGGAGAACAAATTTCAATTGAGAAAAAATATCAACTTTTGTAATATCAAAAATCATAGAATTCAATGAAAATGAGACAGTGCCATTTTTATATTAGTTTTTTGTACTATTCCGAAAATTTTTCAAATAAAAAGTTGGGGTTATTTTTGAGAACATTGTGAAAATATGGAATGTTAAACTGAAAAAAAGCACTAAAATACAACAATAAAACAACCGTCACTAATTCGAAGGACCGCAATATGAGCCAAATTGATCGGGAAATATAAATTTTGGTGATAATTCTGAATAAAGGCAATCCATTTTAAGGGGTCTACCAATTGTCGCTCGACAATCTCCAAAAAATTAATGTCTTGTCCATAAATTTCCGTCAGCTTTGGCTTTTTGAACATCTTTAATTTTGTATTGTGCGACCGTCTGTATCTCTGTAGAAACGTTTAGAAATAATGAGAATGACAAATTTAAACGCAAAAAATTAACAAAACGCAGAATTTATTTGTTTGTTATATTTTATAAACAATTTTATATTAGCCAGTATATCATGTAACATCAAGATCACTATCGTATTTTAAATTACAAACGTTGTCAAGTCGTAAGTTTGTTTTAAAGTATACGTAGTATTGAAAATTATTTATTAGGCCACTTTTATGTTTATTAATAATGTATAATTAATTATTTTAAATCAATGTAGATTTTACTTTAAAATAGCTTGAAAATAATATGATTACTACTTGGTACAATGTATCCTGTGGAAATGAGTTTTTTTGCCCAAGTTTGCAATTAAAAAAACACTTTAAGTTAAATCTAAATGTTGAAATTTTGTCTGAAGTTTGGTATCACAGCGATCTAGCGCGTGTCCAATTTTCAGTTTTTCATTTGCTCCCCCAACAGAGATGTTACAGTTGATAATGTGAAAAAAACCATAATTACAATTTTAAAGAGGATATAATTTTCAAGTAGTACGCTATTTACCAAAGATATTTTACAAAAAGTGACCATACTGTTATGTGTAAAAGCACAGAATAAATAAGTCTATGATTCTATTCCTTCTTTGAGAAAACTCTGAAAATCGAATTTCGTTGATTCGCGCTCCATAGATTTGGTTGAAAATATTTCCCAAATAAAAACATAGAAGGTATGTAAATAATATTTCGATTTTTAGGTCTTTGTACAATAAATCCAAAGATGTTTATTCTAGAATGCTAAAACTACCCAGAGCTGAGTAATTTAGAAAATAGTAAATGTCTACATACGCGAAAAATGGCGCAGAACGTAAAACAAAATCGGGCAATAAAACGTAACGTAAACCAGGTGCAATAAAAAAAATAAAGATGTTTTTGAACAGCCAAAACAAAAGGAAATTTATGTACAATATATGCATTTTTCGAGATGGTCGAGGGACCAAGTTATTAAATTCTGGATCACTTAAAATGGATTAACCGATACGGATTAACCGCTTGCGTTGTCTCTCAGACGAGGAGACGTTTTACCGTCAACCAATTTTTTGGTGTCAAGGGCCCACTAAAAAGGATTTTAACTACACAAAGTGTTAGAAGAAGTATTTTATTACAAAATATAGGATAAGATTTATCCATTTTCTAAAGTGAATGGATAAATCAGTGCCCTTAAACAACAAAAAATGTCTGTCGAAAAATCATTGCTTTTTGACGTTGAATGACAATGACTTGTTCTGTATTACGTAAGTAGTATGAAAGAAAGTAATAAGAAATACGTTAAAAGAGAAATATTAAAGAGTAGAATAAAGCATAACGATCTGAAAAAAAACTTCATTGTTATACACACTTTTATAATTATCAGAACAAACTTTGGATACACTTAATAATTATCATGTTCATTCATACACTAATTCCAGTAATTGGCAACTTGTAATTGGAAGATCCAGAAAATAGACAAGATTGAAAATAACTCTTACTTACAGAAATAATATATGTGAACAGATCATGTAAGAAATAAGTGATCATTATTTTAATTGAAGCCAAGAGGTAGCTACAAATTGTTAAATAAATAAAAAAATATTACAAAACCCAAAAATATATTAAAAATATTAGATACATTTCAACTTATCTTTAGAATAACAAGTTCAATTTTAATTCAACCCTTCAGTGCACATCATTGTCACAAGATCCCAACTTAGTAGATACTTCTTTTTGAAATTGGAACGAAAAGCCACTCTTAAACTAGGCGACCGACAAGGGTTTTAACACTCTGTGGTCTGTTAAGAACAATCAAAACAAATGGGTTGTATCTAAAGATGGAATTCAAGTACACGTTTACAAACAAATGGCATTTTTCGTTCACTATATGATTTTTCTCACAAGAAAATAGTATTACGATAACTAATGAATTACGGCTGATACAAAAAACAATGGACTTGGTTAATTTACCAGATTTGTCGAACTAACAATTAAACTTTTCAGGAACAACTTTGATAGTTCTATTCTTATTAATCACTTCATAAAATTCCAAAAGAAAAAAAATATTGAAATTTTTTAATGTTCCATAGATGAAGTTTCTCGTGGTAATGCTGGACTGAGCCAGGTCTTTTATGACTTTATACTTTATTGTACATATTCTATGTATTGGAATATTTCTCCTTTTCGTATATTATTATTTCATTCAAATATAATACTAAATTATATGTTTGTCTCCAGAACTGGTTATGTAAACCCCATAAATGTATGGTAAATCGGTTACTGGTAACGAATAATCCGGTTAGCGGACATTGTCTATGAACGGATTACGTTAATTATCTTGTAAGTAATGTTAGTAAGTGTAAACCTGTCAGTCTTCTAGCAAGAAGCACCTTAACAACTGTGCACGTATTTAGTACACTCGTAATATTCCGACAAAGCCATTAAAAAGTCACATATGTATCTCGTAGACCATTTGCAGTTCTTTAAGCGATCATATTAATTAATTCAGAAGCAAATATGCTCTTTTTCCGTCTCTATTTTATATTAGAGCTCGTACATTTCAATGAAAACACACGTTTGTGCGTTTTCCCTAAATCACAAGCGTTCATTTCACCGTTATTTTGTTCGAGAAAAATTGAAATAATTACCCCAACTTTAATTTGAATGACTTGCAAAAAGATATTAAATCTTCGTAATAAAGTATTGATCTTTTTAAATTCTAATATCACGAGTCTTTCATAAAATATGGACAAAAAATAAAAACTACTGAAAACAATGGTTGAATTTCTTGACAAAAGATTTTTATGAAAAATGATTAAATAACTAAGAAATAGCATGTGCATTGAGTCTGATTCAAAGATAACAATATGTAATTATCGACAGCGGAAGGATTTCATATACACTTGAAGACCGAATGTAACACAAATTTATGGTATTCAATAGTAACCAGGTCCAGTATTAGAAAACCACAGTGTAACATACGCACATATTAAAAAAAATATCACAGACCAATCAATAGTAGGATTTTGAGCGCACTGTCTTCGTCCGAGGCTTTCGCCACATGTTTGACACGGAGTCGCGTCTCCACTCCACTCCCACGACCTGCGCTCAATCCACCACTTCGTAGAAATCGCACCCCTCGAGCAGCGGGATGGAGCAGGGGCGGTTCTGCGCCGGTCTGGCGGCGTCGGGGGGCGGGGCGGCGGGCGGGGGCGCGCGGGGCCGTCGCGACGGCCGCGCAGGAGAGGCCGCGGGGTCCCTTCATGTTGACGTAGATGGGCCCGTCGTTCGCTGAGCTTGATCGGCGCCAGGTACGTGTTGCGCGCGAGGTCGGTGACGTAGCGCTGCGAGTCGGCGTCCTCCTCTGCTCCTTGGCGACGTCCTTGGGCGGCGGGTCGCGCAGCGCGGTCGTAGATGGGCTCTTGGCCGGCGGCGGGTCGCCCAGCCCGTCGATGTACTCGCCCACGGGCGGCGCCAGCCGGTGCTTGCGCCGCCGCCCACGCAGCCGTGGGGCACGCCCTGGCGCCGCCAGCGCCGCCGCAAGGCCCACACCGCCGCCGGCCACCCAGCGGCCCGCGATCACCACCAGCAGCCCGCGGGATGGGGTACAGGCACGTGAGGCGTGGGCGGCGGCGCCCACCCCTGCGCCGCCCCCACTCCAGCCGCCGCAGCTCCGCCACGGCCGGCCGTGCAGCGCGGCCGGCTGGTCGCACGTGGCGTGGGGCGGCGCGCCGCGGCCGGCGCCCTGCCCTGCACCCAGCCCACCCCAGTGCGCATCAGCTCGAGTCGCAGCGCAGGCGGGTTGCTGCCCAGCAGCACCGTCACGTTGCGCTTCACCAGCACGTCAGGCGCCTTGACGCTCACTTGCGCCAGAGGTTTGTTGCTCAGCTCCAGGGGCCCGATGTTGGGCGTGTTCGGCGAACGCGCTCTTTCGCGGAAGCACGCTCAGGTCCGTGGCCGTCAGGTTCAGGAACACCAGCGAGCGGGATTTTGAGGAACGGCTGCTTCGGAAAGGAGGATTATCTTGTTGAAGCTCAGATCCAGGAATTGGAGGTGCGGGTTTTTCCCTTGAACAGGTTCGACATCTAACGATTCGAAGGTTGTTGTGCGCTAGCCTCAGCAACGTCAAACGAGGACCGATGAAATGCCTTCCTGCAACAGACATAATAGCCGATTGCCAAATGTTTTCTCAACTGTAAAAGAAACCCAACAATCGACAACATGTTCATATTATGGATTCCCTGATGATCGACAACAAACACATATTCTGTCCATCTAAATATTTCTGCAGTATGAGGATGACTTCCTGCAAGAAATATCATCCAACTGAAATACGTATAGAATTACGCACTCACAAATGTTGAACTGGAAATTTTATCGCCAAAAAATGTTCGCGCTTTTTACATTATTTTAAATACTGCGTTTCAAGTCCACCGTATGCTGACACGCTTTTAGGAGGTGCCACCGTACGCCAATGAATTCGAATTTGTTGATAAGTTCTCGCAAAATATTTTTTTTAAATAACAAAAAATTACAATCTATTTTTTTTTTACAAAATAATAAGGTAAATATGATATTGTAGGATTGTTCTGACAATGATTGGGATTTCCAGTGGAAGGTATCCCATCGGTACTCTTCATTTACTTCTTCATACTATAACAAAAGGCAAGTATTTTTTGGGTTGGCTGCGAGTGGGATAGTTTAGTAGCTGAGGTAATGTTTCAGTTATTTTGTTGAGAATCTATATGGGAGTTGTGGGGGTGAGGTTCTGGTTAGTCGATGGATTTTGGCACTATTGTCTAGGATGTTGAGGGCTAAGTGGTTTGGATGGTTTTCAAGGCAGATAGTTTGAGCTGATAAATTCTATTCTTTCCAAGACAGTGGACATTGTTAAGTTGTTGTGCGGTGCTGCATTTGTGATGAACCATGGTGCTGCGCAATCATTCTTAAGGGTCTTGGATTGAAATCTCTGGATGATCGAGAGATTCTCTTGCTTGCTGTGGCCCGCAGATTTGGATGCGCGTAGGTCCATTTTGGGATTATGATAGCTTTAAATCAACCAGTTTATTTTCCAGTGATAGTTTTGAGTGGTATCCTTAGTATCCCAGTATAGTTTTTTTTGTTTGAAGTTGAAGGTGCTTTTTTTTTGGCTAAGATGTGATGCTTCCATGTTAGCCGTTAGTCTAGATGTATTCCAAGTATTTTACACTTTCCGTCTGTACTATTGGATTGTTGTTGGAAGTGGACAGTAGTGCATTTGTTTTTTCTCCAGGGTAAAGGGTTAATATGGACTGATTTATTTTCGTTGATTTTTATTTTCACTTTTTGGCCAATCTTCAAATCATTGTAGATGTTCTTGTAAATGTCTTGATGCGACATTAGGGTCGTCATCCGAAGCTAATATGGACGTATCATCTGGCAAAAGTGGCTATGGTTGTTTTATCTGATTTTGGGTATTTCAGTAGTATAGAGCTAGTATAGGATAGGGCCGAGTACACTACCTTGTGGTACTCCGGCTTGATTGGATGAATTCAGATAATTCATTTTGATATTTGATTTGAAGGTGCGGTGTGATAGAAAAGATCTGATAATGTTGAAGAAGGGATACGGTAGAAAAATTTCTTGAGTTTAAATAAGGTCCATCGGTGCCATACTTTGTCAAACGCCTTGGGCAACGTCTAGAAAGCGTTGAACAGTATTTCTTTTTTTGGAGCAATTCTCAATGTAGTTGGTGATTCTATTAATTGTTCGACGCTAGATGTGTTTGTCTAAAACCAAATTGATGATCAGGGACTAGGTTATTGGTTGCTATGTGAGGACGTATTCTTGATAGAAGTTTCTCAGAATACTTTGGATAGAATAAGGAAGTATACTGATGGGACGGTAAGGAGGAGGGTTCATGTGGAGGTTTCCCAGGCCTTGAGAAAAACTTGAATTTGGGCTACTTTCCATTGCTCCGGGTAGTGCCCCTGTTCTTTATAATACTGTTGAAGCAATGCAGTAATTATAGTCTTGGCCTTTTCGTGGTAGTTCTTTGGAGAAGAGGTGTTGGTGATTAAGTCATAGCCAGGAGCTTTTTTGTTTGAATAGGGAGTTTTATTGGTTTTGGTAATTTCTCTGGGAGTGAAGTGCGGGATTGGAAGAGTCATTTGGTTTGGGGAGTTAAGATAATCTCTGTTTTCTTGCCTCTTGGTTAGTATTTATAAGGGATGATGTCTGGAATACATTAGCAAAGAATTTGGCAAAGGTAGACGTTTTTCTCTGTGGGGTTTCTTGCCAACTCTTGTTTCGTCGCTGATTTGGGGGATTTGATTTTGGTCGTTTTTTAGCTTCCCTGTGGCTTAAATAAGGGAGTTAATTGTATCTTCTGTTGGGGTAAGGTTGGTTATAAAATTTTGATACCTGTTGTTGGTTGGAATTCGTTTAGGAGGCGTTTTAGTTGCCTAGTTGCTCTGTTGTAGTTGGTACGGTCCTTCAGATATTTTGAAGTATGGCAGATTCTTCTTAGTCTTCTTTTCTCGGCTATTTTGTTCAAAAGAACTTTTGGATATTTCACGCGCCTTGGGTGTAGTGAAGTTGCGGTGTAGCGGTCCAAAGCTGCTTCTTGAATATTTTGTATTATATACTCAGTCGCTTCGTCTATGTGTCAGCTGATTTTAGTGGTAATCGGATGTTTGTTTTCCATAGATATCTGTTTCTATAAAGTTCCAGTTTGTCTTTCTGTTCGTTAGTGACGCGGGAGAGGATTGTAGAAAATATTGTTGGCCTACTGTGATAATTATTGGAGGGTGGTTCTGAGGACAGTTCGTGGGGAAGATTCTATGATACGGTTAGTGGATGGGATTCCTTTTGGTTATGAATATATCAATTACATCTGGAGTTTTGTGGTTAGGTCGGGTAGGCCAGTAGGTAGGTTCTCCTGTAGAAATGGTTTCTAGCTGAAGTGAGGTAACTGCTTTTAGCAGTTCTCTCCCCCTTGGAGTGATGAGCCTGGATCCCCATTGCGTGTGTTTGGCATTGTAGTCTCCTCCCACCATGTACCTAGAGACTTAAAATAGGTTTCAAATCGTTTGTTTGTCTATTTTGAATCTTGGAGGGCAGTAAATGGCACTGATGGTAATGGGTCACTCAGTCCATAATTTGTACAGTCGCTAGCTTGAATATCTGTTCCTGTACAGCTTCCTGTTCTTGATGTTTATAGTGCTTTTTATTAATATTGCTGTGCACCCATGGGCATTGCCACTAGGGTGGTTTTAGTATCGTATAAAGTGTAGTCTTCAGTTTAAAGTAGCTTCTTTCTGTGAAGTGAGATCAGAGATGAGTAACATGTCTATTTGTTTTCGTTGAGAAATATTTCGATTTCTTGGCGATGATTTGCCAAGCCGTTGGCGTTCCAAGCTGCAATGTCTCGCAAAATATGTAGCACGCTTATTTACATGGCATATTTACATAATTAAATAATTCAACTATAAAATGAATCGCTTATTAATGTATGTTTGAAATGTTTGACACGGTTGCCAATGATAACATTTTTATTTCATTTTTCTAATTTATTAAACAAGCTCGTGAACGTGCTTTTGCAAGGCTCAACGACCAGTGTGATAGTTGGAAAGGTAAACTGTTAATTCTGGAAAATGTATTGTGTGTTCAAACCTCAATATTGATAGAAGAAAAAAAATATCGTTTCATTATTAAATGAATTAGAATAGGTCTACTTACTTGTCAATGTTGTTGAGCTTGTTATGATCCATAACGAGCCCTTGCAATTCCTTGAAATCATCCAAATCTCTTTCCCGTATGATTGTGATGTGATTCCAAGCCATATTCAAAAATGTGGTGTTAGGCTTAGATGGTACTTGTCTTGGAATGGAGTCCAGCGACGCTCTCTCGCAGACGACGTGGTGAAATGAATCCATAGCAACACTGCAGACGCAGTAACTAGGACAGACATGCGCCTCGATTCTTGATTCACACAGCAGAAACGTCGCGATGAGTAGAAATAGTCCTGGTGCCGTCCAGCTTGACGAGCTGTAGAGCACAGACGTGCATTGTGATTAGTTCACACCTCATGAAGGGTATAATGCATGAAATCGTACAGAAGTTTGCTTTCTCATGTTCGATAACTAACTCATATTAGGATCAATACATCAATAATGGCAACTTCGAGATCAAAATTTGAACTGTGAAAATTAGGACTTCCCTCTGGCTTCCAATTTGCAGAACAGGGGTTTATGCCTTGCAAGGTGTAGAACAGTGATAATTTTCTTATTTTTCTTAATTTTAGGTTTAAAAGATAGTAAGTTGACACAATTTTATTAATATTGACATTGTAATAACGTAACATGAACATTTTTCGACTTGAAGTGTCTCAAACAATCCCCAAGGGGTGAAATATACTATGTCCATTACTGACACAAGCATCTGATCAACACCCAAATTATGCAATTTTCAAGTGTTCATTTTTAGAACAAAATCGAGTTTTGGAAATGAATTAATAAAAAATTAATCAGTTGATAATTCTTCATTTTTAGGAAATGAGTCTATTTTTAAAGTGGTATGCTAATCCCCGTTGAGTTTCACATAACTAACTAAAGCCCAAGAATTTTAAGAAATCCACAAAAATGGTATTATATGTGACCATTGTTAGAGCTCTCATCCTAACTGTCTCTGTGAAATCCTTTCTAGAATCTTATTTATTCTGCTTAATTTCCTTCAACGAAACATTCTTAAACTTGTCACTTTCAATGCTCAACGTTTCACATGCAGAATTGTTTTATATGATGTGTTGTGAATAATATCAAAAGCAGTCAATATTAGGAATCGGTTTTGGTTACTACTTCTGCTAATAATCGATTAAAATATTAACCGATTAAATATTACGGCAAATGATTAGTCTTAAAAATCCAATGTTTTGGTTAAATTACAATATAATGTCGCAACGAAAGATCAAATTGCAAAAAAGTCTCTGACCAAAGAAGTCTTTAGTTTACTTTTTGTCTAGAAGCATGTTATGAACGTAGGAAACACGCCATGGAAATTATTTCTCTTCTGGAAAAAATATGTATCTGTGCCAGTGCCATAAATTCCAACATTACGCAGTCTGATACAAATGTCGTCAGTAAAAGGTCATAATTCAAGAAGTCTCACCTGAGGTGGAGATAGCGGCGCCGGACTGTTTCATTCAGTGATTAGTTTCATTAGGAGCTCGTGCCATACCGAAAGGATCTCGTATGTTATTAGGGGAGTAAAAGGGCCTTTAGAGAGTGGGACGGTGTTCCAACAGAGCAAGGGCATTGAAGGGTGTCAAGACTGCATGTCGATACTTAGAGACAACGCAGAAGCGAGTATGTAGAAAGCACGATCTCGAAAAGGATCTAGGCAAATTATTAATGAAAAATTCACGATGCAAACAATTGAAAATTATTAATTTTTTTAGGTCAAATAAAGAAATTGAAAAATTTTCATGTGTTTCCAGCATTTCGTGCCGTTATTATGTTCTATATAAATAAAATTAATAAATGTGGAGAAATTATATTTAATCTGATATAGTGAACCAAAAATATTAGTCTCCAGAAGTTGACTATAACCGGAGTCGACTATAATTACCTTTATTTTATTCAAAGAATATGTATTAAGGGACTGTTTCATGTGTTGAAAATATGTCAGCAGCTCCAGTTTCTTTAAAGTGCAGCTTTTTACCACTTGCTTTAGACAGTGCGGTTGAACACTACACTTTGATCTCATGGATTTTATATTTATGTTCACCTTTAACTTGCACATCGTTGCCGAGAGGAATTTTGAGTAGTTAAAACATCGAGCACGAGTATCTTTCTCAGAAAGAAGCAGGCGTTGTCCTATAATTATAGGCGATCCTGCGTTTTGAGAATTCCTACATTTGCCTCAGTCATCCGATGAATCACGGTGTGTCACACTGGTTGTGCAGGAAGCAACGGCGTACATCCGAAAAGCGATATGGTCGGGACTGCAGCCTTGGAATCGAGTTCTCTAGTGCAACACTACATCCACACAAATAATCAAAAGGTTATCCTTTCTTGACTGGAGAAAACAACATTTTTACTGAAGGATGATGATGTCAACGTAATGAAATAGATGCCAAGCAACTCAGAAATGTATTGGTATAAGTTATTTTATTTTTATGGTTTTGTGACATTTGAGAATTTAGTACCATACGAGGTATAATAGACCACTAGGACTGAGAAAAAGCGATGCTACAGCGAGATTAAACAAAATATTCAGGCTCGTACTCGTATAATTAGAGAAGTGTAAAAAAACGGTAAAAATGTGACTAAATTTTAAACTTTATAGTGACAATTCAACTAATTGTTATGACACAAATTCAAAGACCAACCAACTAAATGGTCAAGATGACTATCGTACATACTTAATTCAAGATAGTCATCAATTAATTACTTAATGCAAATGGTAAGACTCAAAACTAATTTTCAGCTGGTTCAAAACTACTTTTTCACACGCAGTGTCTAAGTTGTTGTTTATTTTGAGCATGAAACCAGCTGCTGCAGTAAATTGATCAAAATTACTGAAAGTTCAGAAATCGAGAATGTCTAGTTCTGAATTATGTCACCGATATATTATATGAAAAAACATTAAACTAAATTTCATATTTATTTATTTAACGTCAGAAACAGTTCAAAACTGTGTGTGGCGTACTATGGAGAGAATTGTGTACTTTGCGAAGATCCTAGACAATGGTCTCGCCAATCTTCTCCTCGGAGCCCCACTCCCAGGTGACCACTAGAATGGGGACCAGGTCCCTAACTTTCCATCTGTGAGTGCGATGAGGTACGACCTTGCGGCGGCGGATCCTGGGGGTTGGATGTCCCCTGATAGAGTTCCTCCCTGCTTGGGTCTGCCACAGCTACTGTAATCCACTGCTAGGTGCCTCAGTTACGATTTCCAGCTCTGAACAAATTCAAATCAAAGAGTCCATAGCAGGGGATTTTGAAAATAAAATACTGGCTCGGTTGAATTGGGAATATTTAATGGTCCAGTTGCTTTGGAAATAGGGTCGACGTTTAAGGTAACGTTCAGAGACCATACGTGGCTATATTATTATACAGGCATAGTTAGTGACAAATTTAATAAAAACTGTTTTCATCGCGTCTCGACTGGCTGTTAGGCGTAGCGGTTAAGGAGGGTTAGAAACAGAGTCTGTCTGTCTGTCTCTCTGTCGTCGTTTCATGTGATTTAGTGTAATCAACCACATGACCTGAAATACGACCTGGGTATCATAATACAAGTAAGTAAATTCTACTCTATAACCTTCTTCAATGACAGTAAACATAGGAAATGAACACTAAATATTTTCACCGATACATTGTTTGTAATGTTAAATCAAAATATGTACGGCTGTCATTCTAATGCAAAATCATTGAAGTTCAGCAGTTTTACTTTCTCGTGCGGCGGCAAGCCGTGATTTTTCAAAACAAAAACTCTTATCGGGCCCTGATAACGAAAAAGAGGACAAATCTTGATTCTCTATGTATTACTAGCAAATGTCCCGGTGTTGCTCGCACTTTCTTCATATACAATTTTTGGGAAAGGAGAAAAAGATCAATTTTATATAAAACAAGGTGTTTAAGATTTTTAATGTAACTGGTTTAAATTTTAATAAAACAATATAATTTTATTTCATTTTATTTACAGTTTATTGTTATTAGATTATCATTTTTTATCTTACACACTGCAGCTGCTCTCTAGAGAATATACAGTAGAGTCTTTATATTTCGAGTCTCGATTGTTCGAGTTTTCATTAAATCCGAGTTATATCCGACTTGCCAAAAAATTAAAAAGATCCGCAATCCGACAATTACTTTCGGAAATACACGTGAAAGATGTTTAAGCAAATTTCCTAAATTTGGTGTAAATTTTGGAAAAAAGTCAATTTCGTCGCTTCTTTCTGAAATCACGTATGTAGGTAGAACACTTGACGAGAAATTGCATCATGCAAACACGACCTCAATCTGACTATTACTTTAAGAATTACACCTGAATGAAGTTCGCGCGAATTTTGTAAATTTGGTGTAAATTTTCGAAAAAAGTCAATTTCGTCACTTCTTTCTGAAATCACGTATGTAGGTAGCACACTTGACGAGAAATTGCATAAAGCACTCTACACCGCAATCCGACTATTACTTTCGGAAATACACGTGAATGAAACTTGCGCGTATTTTGTTAAATTAGGTGTAAATTTTGGACAAAAGTCAATTTCGTTGCTTCTTTCTGAAATCACGTGTGCATGTAGCGCACCTAATGGGAAATTGCATAACGCAAACTACACCGGAATCCGACCATTACTTTCGGAAATACTCGAGAACGACATTTGCGAGAATTTTCTAAATTTTGTGTAAATTTTGGACAAAAGTCAATTTCGCCGCTTCTTTCTGAAATCACGTATGTAGGTGGAACACTAGACGAGAAATTGCATACAGCAAACTACGCCGCAATCCGACTATTACTTTCGGAAATGTATGTGAATGAAATTTGCGCGTATATTGTTTGTTAAATTAGGTGTAAATTTTGGGAAAAAGTCAATTTCGTCGCCTCTCTCTGAAATCTCATATATAGTTATGACACTTGACGAGAAATGGCATAAAGAAAACTAAACCGCAATCACACAATTACTATCGGAAATACATGTGAAAGAAGTTTGCGGGAATTTTCTAAATTTGGTGTAAATTTTGGAAAAATGTCAATTTTGTCGATTCTTTCTGAAACCACGTATGTAGATAGAACACTTGCCGAGAAATTGCGTAAAGCAAACTACATCGATATCCGACTATTACTTTCGGAAATACATGTGAAAGAAGATTGGGCGACCTTTGTTATATTAGGTGTAAATTTTTAAAAAAGTCAATTTCGTCGCTTCTTTCTGAAATCACGTATGTAGGTAGAACACATGGCGAGAAATTGCATCATGCAAACTAGACCTCAATTTGACAATTACTTTAAGAAATACACCTGAACGACATTTGCGCGAATTTTGCTAA